ACCCCCCCCAAAAAAAAAAAATCTTAGTTTGGCAGAGGGACATGTACCCTTTGTCTCAGCTACTGCTAAAGCTGTGATGAGAAGATTGCTTGAGCTCAGGTAGTGAAGGTCAGCTTGGGTGGTATAGTAAGACCCTGTCTCAGAAAAATGATGGAGCTAGACATGGTGCTACATGCCTGTAATCCCAGTGCTCATTAAGCCAAAACAAGAATATCTTAAATTTGAGGCCAGCCAGAGCGACATAGCAGGACTTAGGATGTTACTTGCAGTAAAATGGATGGGAGGGGCTGGGAAGGTGGCTCAGTGGTAGAGAGCTTGCCTTGCATGCATGAGGCCCCTGGATTCAATTCCTCAGCACCACATAAGCAGAAAAAGCCAGAAGTGGTGCTGTGGCTCAAGTGGTAGAGCGCTTGCTTTGAGCTGAAGAGCTGAAGGACAGTGCCCAGACCCAGAGTTCAGGCCCCAGGACTGGCAAAAAAAAAAGAAAAGGAAAGGATGGGACTGGAGATTATCATGTTAGACAAAATAAGTAAATTAAGTCAGACTCAGAAAAACAGTGTGTTTTTTCTTTTATTCAGGATTTAGATACAAAAAAACAAAAACAAAAACATGAAAGTAGAAGGAAGACTATTTGGGAAAAGGCAAGGGACCAACCAGTGCAGAATAGGGAGAGACAAGGGTAATGAGAGAGTATCATCAAAGTACATTAAATACTTGTGTGAAAATGTCATAGCCAGGCGCTGGTGGCTCACGCCTGTAATCGTAGTTACTCAGAAGGCTGAGATCTGAGGATCAGGGTTCAAAGCCAGCCAGCCAGGAAAGTCTGTGAGACTCTTAAAGCCAGAAGTGGTGCTGTGGTTCAAGCGGTAGAGTGCTTGCCTTGAGCTGAAGAGCACAGGGACAGCACCCAAGCCCAGAGTCCAAGCCCCATGACTGACAAAAAAAGAAAGAAAGAAAATGTCATAATGCCTTCCCTCCCTATCTCTCCCCCCCTTCCCCCCCCCCCCCACGCCAGCCATTCCTGGGGCCTGAATTTAGAGCCTGTACACTGTCCCTGTGCTTTTTTTTTGCTCAAGGCTAGCACTCTATCACTTGAGCCACAGTGCCACTTCTGGCCTTTTCTGTTTATGTGGTACTAAGGAATCAAATCCAGAGTTTTGTGTATGCTAGGCAAGCACTTTACCACTTGGCCACATTTCCAGCCCAATAAATCCTATTTAAAAGATGGGTTTTTCTTTTTCTTTTTCTTTTTTTTTTGGGTCCGGTCGTGGGGCCTGAACTCTGGGCTTGGGTGCTGTCCCTCAGCTCTTCAGCTCAAGACTAGCGCTCTACCACTTGAGCCACAGCGCCACTTCCGGCTTTTTTCTTATGTGGTGCTGAGGAATCGAACCCAGGGCCTCAGGCATGCAAGGCAAGCACTCTACCACTGAGCCATCTTCCCAGCCCCCCTGCATGTTATTTTTTTTTAAAAAAGAGAAACAAGGGCTGGAAATACAAATTTGAAGATATAGCTCAGTGATATAGCTATGTTCAGGAACCTTGATTAAACCAACATACACAGATATAAAGTGAAATCACAGATTGCAACATCAAAAAAGTTTTATTGGAGAGAGATACTTATGCATTTTTCCTTTTTAATTAATTTTGCCAGTCCTGGGGCTTACACTCAGAGCCTGGGCACTATCCCTGAGCTTCTTTTGCTCAAGGCTAGCACTCTACCACTTGAGCCATAGCGCCAGTTCCGGCTTTTTCTGTTTATGTGATACTGAGGGATTGAACCCAGGGCTTCATGCATACTAGGTAAGCACTCTAACACTAAGCCACATTCCCAGCCCTAATTTTTATTTTTTGTTATTATAAATGTGATATACAACGGGTTACAGTTACATAAGTCAGGTAAAGAAGTATATTTCTTTTTGCTTTATTGTATATTATCTGCTCATAAGAAAATCAGCCTGGTGCTGGTGGCTTACCCCTGTATTCCTAGCTACTCCGGAGGTTGAGATCTGAGGATCAAGGTTTGAAGCCAGATGGGCAAAAAAGTCTGTGAGACTCTTATCTTCCATTAACCACCAGAAAACCTCAAGTGGCACTGTATCTACTCTTGAACACAAAAGCTCAGGGACAGTGCCTAGGCCTTGAGTTGAAGTCCCATGACCGATGGGGGGGGGGGGTGGAGGATAATCTTTAAAAAATACTCTGGACAGAGTTCTGGAAAGAGTGACACTTCCTCAACAAGAGCCTCAGGCAGGTCTTTCCAAAAGATGACATCTCTGTTCAAGTTACTGTAAACCTTCCTGTGGGACAAGATGAGGGGATGGAGGACAGTGGTATTGGTGATACTGACCTATTGTAGGTCTGGCTTTTGTAATGCTGGGGATTGAACCCAGGACCTTGTACATGCTAAGCAAGCACAGTACAGCTAAGCCTAAAGTGTATGTGTGTCTTAGGTGGTTTTATTTTTTTGTTGGTCGTGGGGCTTGAACTCAGTGCCTGGGCACTGTCCTGAGCTGTTTCACTCAAGGCTAGTGCTCTACCAGTTTGAACCACAGCGCCACACCTGGCTTTCTGGTTGTTGATTGGAGATAAGAATCTCTCAGGTGCTGGCTGGTGCTTGTGGCTTACACCTATTGTCCTAGCTACTCAGAAGAATGGGATCTGAGGATCTCAGTTTGAAACCAGGTGGGCAGGAAAGTCCATGAGACTTACCTCCAGTTAACCACTCAATCCTGGAAGCAGAGCTATGGCTTAAAGGTAGAGCCACTGTTCTATTTATTTATTTATTTATTAATTTTTGGTCGTGGAGCTTGAATTCTGGGCCTGGGCGCTGTCCTTCAGCTTTTCAGCTCAAGGCCAGCAATCTACCACTTGAGCCACAGTGCCACTTCCGGGTTTTCTGCTTATGTGGTGCTGAGGAATTGAACCCAGAGCCTAATGCATGCAAGGTAAACACTCTACCACTGAGCCACCTTCCCAGCCCAGAGCTGCTATTTTTTTTTTTTTTGGGGGGGGGGGGTCCTGTCGTGAGGCCTGAACTCTGGGCCTGGGCGCTGTCCCTCAGCTCTTCAGCTCAAGGCTAGCGCTCTACCTCTTGAGCCACAGCGCCACTTCTGGCTTTTTTTTCTTTTTGCTTACGTGGTGCTGGAGAATCGAACCCAGGGCCTCATGCATGCAAGGCAAGCCCTCTACCACTGAGCCACCTTCCCAGTCCCTAGAGCTGCTATTCTTGAGCAAAAGAGCCCAGAGACAGTGCCCAGGCCCTGAGTTCAAGCACTCTCAGACTTTCCTGCACGGCCTGACTTCAAACCATGATCCTTAGATCTCAACTTCCTGAGTAGCTGAATTGCAGGTGTGAGTCATAGGCCACCAGCTAGGTTGTTTGTTTTATAGTGAGCCTGGGGATTGAACCCAGGGCCTTACATCTTACTAGGCAAGAATTCTACCTCTGATCCTAGCCCTAGAAGCTTCATTTTATTTATTTATTTATTTTGGGTCCGGTCGTGGGCTTGAACTCTGGGCCTGGGCTCTGTCTCTTAGCTCTTCAGCTCAAGGCTAGCGTTCTACCACTTGAGCCACAGCGCCACTTCCGGCTTTTTTCTTTTTACTTATGTGGTGCTGAGGAATGGAACCCAGGGCCTCAAGCATAAAAGGCAAGCACTCTACCACTGAGCCACCTTCCTAGCCCCAGGAGCTTCATTTTTTAACAGAAAACTTTAAAAAGTATATATGTGTATATATATATATATATATATATATATATATATACATACACACATATACACACACACACACACATATTAAAAGGAAGACATTGTCCATAAAAAGAAATTTACTCATTACCTGACTTATGAAATGATAATACCTCTGCACAACACCTTAATAACAACAATAAAAATATATTAAAAATAGTATTTTGGGGCTAGGAAGGTGACTCAGTGGTAGAGTGCTTGCCTTGCATGCATGAGTTCCTGGGTTCGATTCCTCAGCACCAAATAAGCAGAAAAAGCCAGAAGTGGTGCTGTGGCTCAAGCGGTGGAGCGCTAGCCTTGAGCTGAAGAGCTGAGGGACAGCGCCCAGGCCCAGAGTTCAGGCCCACAACCGGCAAAAAATAAATAAATAAATAATAGTATTTTGAGCGAGGTGCCAGTGGCTCATGCCTTAATCCTAGCTACTCAGGAGGCTGAGATCTGAGGAGCATAGTTTAAAGCCAGCCAGACAGGAAAGTCTGTGAGACACCTGTCTCCAATTAATTACCAAAAAGCCAGAAGTGGAGCTGTGGCTCAAGTGGTAGAGTGCTAGCCTTGAGCACAAAAGCTCAAGGACAGTGCCCAGGCCCTGAGTTCAAGACCCAGTACTAGCACCAAAAAAAATTATTTCTTTTTTTTGTTTTTGTTTTATTTTGCCAGTTCTGGGGCTTGAACTCAGGGCCTGGACACTGTTCTGACCTTTTTGCTCAAGGCTAGCACTCTACCACTTGAGCCACAGTACTACTTCTGGCCTTTTCTGCTTATGTGGTACTGAAGAATCAAACCCAGGGCTTCATTCATGGTATGGAAGCACTCTACTACTAAGCTACATACATTCCCAGGCCACTTCCAGCTTTTATTTTATTAATTTTTTTTTTTGAAAGGTTGTGCAAAACTTGTATTTACAAAAATGCCACAAAAGTGAATGCAACACAGTCATTGCACATGCACGCTTCATTCACATCTTCCACCATGAAAGGGTTGTAATGCCACAAAAGGGGGGACAAACTTCACCAACAGCTGCTAAGCACTGAAGCCATACAAGTTATACTGGAATGGACAAATATTGCCCAAGGGAGATTCTACTGTGAACGCTGAGACAGGTTGAAGGCCATTAAACACAGTTATTCCAATCTTTTGGAGCCCCATTAACTTGTGTTTGGGTATGTGACTTTTCTTCCAACTTGTGGTCTTAAACTTCCATTTTACAAAATCCAGAAGGAAATACAAAAGAAATCAAAACAACAGAGGTCATATTAAACAGGAGTTAGCGTATGAAGATATAATTAAGATGGAGAAAGAAAGTCAGAACATTAAAATGGTACAACTTGCTTTGTTAGTTGTTGGAACCAGTCCTACATTAGAAGTTAGGTAATATACACAATTATTTTCAAGTAGATTACTTATGTTGTTCTAATATGTCCTTCTCATCAGTGCACTGTTAAGCTAATCAAAACCTCTACAAAAGAACAGTCCCTTACAATAGCAGCACACACTACCGCTACCTGCAAAGCTGTCAGTCTCAAAAGACTTAGTGAATGAAAAGAAACAGAAGTGGATAAGTCACATATTAAGGAGGAATAATGGGAATTAGAAGATTCATGCAGTTCAGCTCTTTTAATCAGCCAGCCAGCTTGCTAGCGATGAGGGATGGTTTCCGCTGAGGAAGGTCCTGTGGAGTGGGAATGTGGTCCCCAGTGACCTCTGTCTTATCCGGAGCTGCAGTGGGCAGTTGCTTGTTCTTCATCTTAGCTTTAGCCATGTTGTAATCTCCAGAATCAAAATATTTTTGCCCTTTCTGTAATCGTTTCCTTAGAAAATCTGAACCCCCAGGCTTCTGTCCCAGGTGAGGATATCTTGCTTTTAATTTTGTTTCTTCAGCTTTCTCTGGACTAGTCACTTTATCTTCCATTTCCTTCTGCTCCTCGGCTGAGGCCGCCTCAGGGACTTCCGCGGACATGATGTTCCCTAACCCAGTTCCTCCACCTCGGCGACGTCTCACTTCCAGCTTTTAGTTGAAGAGTTTCAGGGACTTTCCTGCCCAGGTTGACTTCAAACTGTGATCCTCATAACAGCCTCCTGAGTAGCTATGATTAGTGGTATGAGCCACCAGTGCTCAGAAGTGGGTATTATTTTTTAAGAATAATCACATGTGAAGGAAAGTTCATTGAAGGTTCTAAGGTTGTTTTTTTTGTTGTTGTTTGTTTTGGTATCTGTACGGGAGTTTGAACTCTGCAGAGGCCCTACACTCTCACTCAATTTCTTTGCTTATGACTGGCGCTTTACTACTTGAGTCACACCTCTAGTTTGACATTTTCCTAATTAATTGGAGACGGGAGTATGCTGGACTTTTTTTTGTTGGTCATGGGGCCTGAACTCGGCCTGGGCCCTGTCCCTTAGCTCTTCAGCTCAAGGCTAGCACTCTACCAATTGAGCCACAGCACCACTTCTGGCTTTTTCTGCTTATGTGGTGCTGAGGAATGGACCCTGGCCTCATGCATGCAAGGCAAGTGCTCTACCACTGAGCTACTTTCCCAGCCCTATCCTGGACTTTCTGTCCAGACTGGCTTTGAACCTCAATCCTCAGGTCTCAGCCTCCCTGAAATGCTAAGATTTTATATATATATAAGCCACCAATGCCTGGCTTAATATTTTAAATTCTCTCATAGTTGTCTAAAAATTTTCACTGACTTAGACCCACTGAGCTAATCATTATATTACTTCATTTTATTGTATTGTAATATATCAGGTACTTAATTTTGGTACATGGAGCTCATATTTCCAGGGGCACCATTTTCTTGTTCCTTTTTTTTTTCTTTTTTGGTCAGTCCTGGGGCCTGAACTCTGGGTCTAGGCGCTGTCCTAGACTAGCGCTTTACCACTTGAGCCTCAGCCCCACTTCTGGCTTTGTCTGCTTATGTGGTGCTGAAGAATCGAACCGAGGGCTTTATGCATGCAAAGCAAGCACTCTACCACTGAGCCACCTTCCCAGTCCCTCTTGTTCCTTTTGTGTTGGCATTATTAGTATTCCAGTCATTTTCTGCTAGGATTCAAAACTACTTACAAATTTGTGAGTATTAAAGCTAAAACTGAGTAACTTAGAAATCTACTTAAGTAAAACCACATTACTGGATTCTATGGTTTATTAATTGTGAATGAACTAGTACCAACTCTTCTTTGGGTAACTCCCAGTCTTCCTTTGGGAAAAGTTGGCTGTTTGACCATCAGATAAAAGTTGTCAATATTTGGTACATTTGTGCATATTTGTAATCCTTACACTCAGATACATAGGGAAACCTTATCTCAAAAAAAAAAAAAAAATGACAACAGGGCACCGATGGCTCATGCCTGTAATCCTAGCTATTCAGGATACTGAGATCTGAGGATTGTGGTTCAAAGCCAGCTCAGCAGCAAAGTCCATAAGACTCTTACCTCCAATTAACCACCAGAAAAACTGGAAGTGGCACTGTTGCTCAAGTGGTAGAACACTTGCCTTGAGCTGAAGAGCTCAGGGACAGCAGTCAGGCCCAGAGTTCAAGCCCCACGACAAAAAATAAATTAAATTAAAAAATAAAATTAAAAATTTAATAGGCTAATAGTTATTTAACTATATTACAAGCCTATTTTAATAATGTACTACATGCATCTACGGAATGCTATAGATTCATATAGTAATGGGATCTACCCCAGCCTAGGAGAATAGAGAGAAGTCCTTTTTTTTTTTTTTTGGGGGTCTGGTCATGGGGCCTGAACTCTGGGACTGGGCGCTGTCCCTCAGGCTCTTTTAGCTCAAGGCTAGCGCTCTACCACTTGAGCCACAGCGCCACTTCCGGCTTTTTTCTTTTTGCTTATGTGGTGCCGGGGAATAGAACCCAGGGTCTCATGCATGCAAGGCAAGCACTCTACCACTGAGCCACCTCCCCAGCCCCTAGAGAGAAGTCTTTACACTGAGACCTTAGGCCAGCTAAGTGGTATAGTGCTTACCTAGCAAATATGAGGCCCTGAGTTCAATCCCTAGTACCAGTAGCCAAACAACAACAAAAGAAGCTAGGTGCTGGTAGCTCATGCCTGTAATCCCAGCTACTCAGGAAGCTGAGGTCTGAGGATCACACATTTTGAAGCCAGCCCAGGCAGAAAAGTTTGTGAAACTCTTATCCCTAATTAACCACCAAAAAACTTAAAGTAGAGCTGTGGCTCAAAGCCATAGAGCATTAGACTTAATTGAAAGCGCTTAGGGACAGCACCCAGGCCTAGTTCAAGCCCCATGACTGAAAAAGAAAAAAAGAAAAGAAAAACAAAAAACCTGAGACCTGCTCTATGGAGTTCTTAGAAGAAAAGTAAGAGGAGAATGAATATTCCAGATACAAAAGACTGGTAGACTAGTTCAGTTAGTAGCATAAGGGAATGGCGGGGTGTGTGTGTGTGTGTGTGTGTGTGTGTGTGTGTGTGTGTGTGTGTGTGTGTGTGTGTGTGTGTGTGTGTGTGTGTGTGTGTGTGTGTGTGTGTGTGTGTGTGTGTGTGTGTGTGTGTGTGTGTGTGTGTGTGTGTGTGTGTGTGTGTGTGTGTGTGTGCATAAGGGAATGGCGGGTGTGTGTGTGTGTGTGTGTGTGTGTGTTAGACTAGTTCAGTTAGTAGCATAAGGGAATGGCGGGTGTGTGTGTGTGTGTGTGTAGAGGGTAGTACAGTAGTACAGGTCCTAAGGGAATGGCGGGTGTGTGTGTGTGTTTGTGTGTGTGTAGAGGGTAGTACAGTAGTACAGGTCCTAGGGCTTGAACTCATGACCTGGGTGCTATCCCTGTGCTTTTTTGCTTAAGATTAGCACTCTACCCCTTGAGCCACAGCTCCAATTTTGGCTTGTTTAGGTTTATTGGAGATAAGAGTATCACAAAGCCAGGTGCTGGTGGCTCATGCCTGGAATCCTAGCTACTCAGGGGGCTGAGCTCTGAGAATAACAATTCAAAGCCAGCCTGGGCAGGAGAGTCTGAAACTCTTATCTCCAATTAATCACCAGAAAACTGGAAGTAAGTAGCACAGTGGCTCAAGAGGTAGAGCACTTGCCTTGATCTGAAGAGCTGAGGGACAGTGCCCAAGCCCAGAGTTCAAGCCCCATGACCGACAAAAAAAGTGTCACAAACTTTCCCTTCCAGGCTTGCTTTGAACCATGGTCCTCAGATCTTAGCCTCCTGAGTAGCTGGGATTATAAACATATGCCATGGGTTTTCTGGCTGTTCTTATAAGGGAACCAGTCATTAGATTAGCAGTGACCTCATTTAACTTCTCTTTAAGAACTCTATCTCCAAATATAGTAATATTCTGAGGTACTAGTCATTATGACTTCACATAACATTTAAGGGAATACATTTCAGTCATCTAGGGCCCATACCTATTTTGTATTGTCACCAGAACAGCCTTTATTTTTTTTTTATTTTGGCCACATCTCACTAAGTTGTCCTAACTTTCCTCTAACTTCTGTCCTGCTGCTCAGCCTCCTGAATAGTCACTATCCGAGGCATGGACCACCATACCCAGTTCTGTTTAGTTTTTTAGGAGTTGGCATGTTATTTTGTATAGCAGCTACTTTGGTTTATGTACGTAGGCTGATATGATACCACAATTGGGAAAATCTATATTCGACCTCATATGACAGAATGCAGGCAGAATAAAAATGCCCTAAAAATACTGTATAAACGTGCCTTCAGATTATGTATGTAAGGTATATATGAAACAAAAAAGAATTTTGTGTTTAGGTTTGGGACCCTTCCCAAGATTTCTCATTATATATATGAAAATACATTTATATATGATATACTTGAATTTATACATATTTCAGAATTTAAAGCTATTTTGGTCACAATCCATTTTGATTATATATAATTTCTTATATAATTTCCACACAGTATGAATTTTCCAGTTTTTTTCTACTACTGATTTCTAGCTTTAGTCTTTGCAGCCAGAGGATATACTTAAAATAACTTCAGTCTTTTTTCATTTGTTGAGATTCTTTTTGTAGCCTAACATGATTTATCCTGAAGAATGTTCCACGCGCACTTGAGAAGAATGTGAAATCTGCTGCTGTTAGATGGAATACTGGTTCTGTGTTAAATGTCTAGTGATTTATAATATTCGAGTATTTTCTTTTCTGTCTAGGTAATCTGTTCATTATTGAAAGTGGTTTATTAGGGTTTCCAAATATTATTTGGAAACTATTCATCCCTTCATATATTTTGCCACTTGTTTGTTACACGTATTATATGTGTGAATGTTTATACATGTATGTGTATGTGTATGTACTGAAGTTAGAAATACAATAGGAGCATTTTGTGGGTGGTGTTACAGGTGCTTGATTGAACTCAGGGCCTGGACACTGTCCCTGAACTTTTTTGCTCAAGGCTAGCATTCTGCCACTTGAGTCATGACTCCACATCCAGCTTTTGGTGGTTAATTGGAGTTGAAATGTATCAATTAGCCATCAAAAAATCAAGCTAGAAGTGTGGCTCAAACAAAAATTTTTTTAAAAAATCAACCACTGTTTTATTTTGCCTTTTTGTTTTTATGCTTTGTGGCAAGGATTATGTAGCCCAGGCTGGCTTCAAACTCATTGTCCTATTTCAGCATCTTGGATGCCGACATTACAGGCTGTGCCACTATACTGGGCTGACAGCCATTGATTATCTATTTTGCCAGTCATGGGGCTTGAACTTAGGGCCTGGGCACTGTCCCTAAGCTTCTTTTGCTCAGGGCTAGCACTCTGCTACTTAAGCCACAGTGCCACTTCTGGCTTTTTCTGCTTATGTGGGGCTGAGGAATTGAATGCAGGGCTTCATGTATGGTAGGCAAGCACCATTGAGCCATATTCCCAGCCTCCATTGATCTTTTTGTATGAAAATTCTTTTTTCTGTCTGCCTTTAAGATCCTTTTTTTCTTCATTGCTGGTTTTCAGGATTTTTTTTTTTTTTTGGTCAGTCATGGGGCTTGAACTCTGAGCTTGAGCACTGTCCCTGTGCTC